TTTCTTACAAATAAAACTAAAAATATAAGTAATAAATTAAACTTTAAAATTGTAAAAAAACAAATATTGTAAAATATTGGAAAAAAAGGCTGTTTCTGGCCCCTAAGAAGCGACTGAGCATTAGACTGGACCAGTTTAGAGATCGGTTGATGTCTTGTCACAATCACTTTGTTGGAGGATTGAGATGGACTTTCCCGAGGTTACAGAGCACGACCTCAAGCAGGGAGTCATGGAAGGTAGTCTCAGACACCGATCAGTACATCAAGGTACTCGTTACCTAGGGCCAAGGTGTCAACGCTCTTCATCTGAACTGATCAGTTCTGGCTGGACAAACTATTTCGTCATAACTCTCTCGACTTCTAGGCTCAAGGTTTACCTTAAGGCCTGCATCTGCCACTATGCAACACCTGTAATCTCGGGGATTAAACAGTAATCACTGAATGATTTCAATGTTAGCTGGACCCGCCTCGACAAATAGTGGCTGCCAGCCCGGATTTCAAAACGCTTTGGAAGTGCCTGTCTAAAATGTATCATACAAAATATATGATTTACTTAACACTTAAGCTAATTCCTGTTCTTTACTGTCACTAATTTATTATTTAAAAATATTGCTGATAGGATTTTATGATGACTACCAGAGCCCAAATAATTTGGCTGACGCGGATATTGATGTCCTTTGTGCGTCGTTAATAATTGACATCCCAGGCCATTGTGAGGCATTATCCTCTTAATGTTACTGACTCGCAGCAGATTTTGAGCATCTGGCAGCCCTCTGTGTTACTCAGATAATTAAATTCTTGACTGTTGGATTCTCGATGTCGATATTATTATCTTCCTCGAAATTAGCAATTTCAACGTCCAGGAATTTACTACGTAAAGTGTAGACAAGTGTCAGAGTTGGACTCGGTGGATGGGGGGAGAGTGGGAGAGGGAGTTGGACTCGCCTGAGAGTTATAATGACGAGTTATTGATAACTACAATGACAGGAAGATGAAATTATATCATGAGAAAGTTAACAGTTGTCACTATACATCCAGAAGCAGAGAGTCTTCGCTACATATAAAATAAGACTCTAGAGGATAAACTTGGCACTGCTGGGTAAATAGAAAGAAACCGACATGATAGACTCGATAAAAGCTCAACCAGGCAGGAACATCATCCATAAGAAGCGTGTCTTACGGTATTTTCTCACAAGTTAGTGGTATCATTTTCCATTCTGCCACAACTTGGTAGAAATGTGTTATGGATACCATTAGTGAGTTCCATTTTCTACGTCAAGGTGTTGTAAATAGTCCACAGACGGGTGTAGTTGTTCCATACCTTACATAAGTTATACCATTCCTAGTTTTGAATCAATATATGAAGCATTTTTTTTTTAGCATTCTTCCCATAAATATTCTTCCTAGTACCGTCCTTTTAGAAGCATTCTTTCCGGTACCATTTCTCATCCTACCATTCTTCCTTCTACCATTCTACTCACAACTACTCGGTTTTGTGTAAACAAATGATATCCAATTATTGAACTAAAATTCACAATTATCAACGTTCACATCAGCTCGTAAAATCCTGTTTGTAAAAACTGGGGTCGGCCCACTGTGTTGTCCCAGTCTTCTGGGACTTATTGCATGTGAGAAGAGTCTCGGTCGGTGTCCCAGTCCTCTGCCGCCTGGCGCGGGTAACATCGAGCTAGGGGGGGTTGTCCCAACCCTCAGCCTCCGCGCCAATCTTCCATTACCGATGGAGGAACTGGGCGCTCGAAGCCACCTAAACCTAATGGGTAAAAAATGGGCGATGGGGATGCAATTTGTGAAGAGGCCCTACTGCGGCGGAGTATAATAGGTAGACTAGATGAGGCAGAGGGAGGGGCGAGATTGGGATTGAGTGTGGCGTTGCGAAGAGAGATGGGCTGCTGTGGGATGGAACAGGATGACATGGAATAGTGTGAAGGGAAAGAGAGAGGACAGACTGGAGAGGTGAAACAGTGTGATCACGCCTGGAACTCATACTACATCATTTAAGAGCTGAACAAAGGCATAACATAGGTGACGGGGAAAAGGTAGCCGAAGGAACAAAGTAAAGTGTTTCAATTAATAATTTAATGCCATGCCAGGATGCTTGTCCTAGACATTAATACGTCTTTTACAAATCATTGAAAAATGGATTTTCCTTTTTTTTTACTGAAAATCGAATGTATAAATCTATCCCAGTGTTTAATCCCACACTATAGGTAAACACAAATAGAAGGGGTAAGTTTGTTTTTATTAACATTTAGGGACATCTTTATTTGTGCAGCTATCCCTACAATAATATATACAGTGTGTGTCAAGAACTAGCTACAGGTGACAAGATTTTTTTTTTATTAACATATTAGGTACATCTGCATTTGTGCAGCTACCCTAGATTATATGGAAGAGAGTACAGTGTGTCAAAAAGGTAGCTTCGTGGTGCTAAATATATCCCCATCACACAGATGGTTAGTTATACAGAGGCATGTGATAAGCAGTCTGCACTGGCAGACTCTTGAGTGCATTAGAAGATTTTTTTTAGCAATATGTTAGTCTACGGGCGACGCTACCCACGTTTCACTACAAGCCGTGAGCCTCGTTGCTTATAAAATGTCATCCACACTTCCGTGGAAATAAACATTCCACTGTTTATATTCCATTATGTCGATAGGACTTCAGCCTCACACACGTGAGAGCCACGGTTCGAGTCTCCTAGAGCCCAGGTGAATGGAATCGTCGCTTAGATATACAAGATTACCAAGATACAGTACCGTACGTACATGGTCAGGTCAACAACACTACTTCGTTTTCCTATCTTATTAACATTTACAATAGTAAATTACCAGCGGAGGTTCTAGTCCCAGTAAGGGCATTTGCAACTTTGAAGTATTTACAGTAGTGTATAGAGCTTAATCGAGAATATGTTCATGTAAATTACTACTCTTACGCTGAAGTAGTTCTCTTGATATTTCTGTAATATTGCTTCTTATTGTTTTTGTCTTAGTAATTTCTTATATGTAGTTATTCACATTTCTATTTTGTCGCCTGAGTTGTCATGTTCAGTTCCCTCGCATTTATCATAGTTCAGTTCTTCCTGATCAGTAAGGAGACTTAATACCATTAAGGAGACTTAATACCATATCTTAATATCATTTCTAATTGTATTTTGCGATTTTTTAAGGTTTAGATACCATTTCGGGAGAGCACTCAAGAATAGGTTTACCATAAGCTGCATATTACGCTTAAAATGATCAGTTGTAGAGTTTTGGTAGATATGCAGACGTTGCATTTCCTGCCAAAGTTAGTCTGCTAATGTGTGTGCTTCTGGTAATATTTTTTGGGTTATGTTTACTCTAAAAATATTTCTAATTTTGTTGATGTATACTGCTGGCTCCTCTTCGTTCTATACTACTCGTACGATCTTCTCACGCCCAATCCTATCCTCATAACGCTGCATTTAACTGGGTTAACGTCCAGTAGTAAGTTCCGGAAACCCTCTGAAATGTATCTAGTTTTGCAATGTATTACTGCCCTGTATTGTGTGGTTTCTCATTAGTTTAGCATCATTGATATAATGGAGCCTATTTTTTTGTTAGAACCTTGACATATTAGAAACATTATAGTGTCGACCACTGTGGTACTTCCCTCGCTACACCTATGGTAACTACCACTGTGGTACTTCCCTCACTACACCTGTGGTAACTCGGGACGGGTTAAATAATTCGCTAACACACACAAATCACAGTCTCGTGGTAGAGTACTCGACTGGCGATGGCGGGGTCGTTGGTTCGTACCCACCTCACAGCCCTGATGGATTTTCTCAATAATTTGGTAATTTGCTAGCTCACACGGAACCATCTGTGAACCTTGCCGGCATTAACGTTACTTCCATACTATCACACTTATAATTAATGGAGGGAGGAAATAGTGTGTGGTTTCCCAATCAACTTCCCAAGAAATTAATTAGTTGGTCGCCTTTGATCCACTCACGCCGATGGTTGCTCGTTTAATGGTAAATTTCCTTCCGGTTTCCTTAAGTTTCCGCGAAGGATTGGGGAGGCGCCATGGCGCTCTTGCCTACGGTAAGGCAAGATTTATTTGTGTTTATCTTTCTGTGAGTATTCTGGCCTCAGCCTGCCCAGATTTTTTTCATGTAGAATTAAGTCCAGCACTCTTGACTAAAAAAAATGCAAGTAAGTAATTATCAATAGAAGGCACCAAACCTGGAAGGCTATGTAGCACCATCAAATGCAAATACAACACATTAATTTATATTTTAAGATGTCTACTATTTTTGTTCTAAACCATGGCGTGATCTCCCACACTTAGGCACGCCCCGAAAATTTCAAAAATTTTGAAAATAAGGACAATTTACCTTATTTACTATGCTCGTCTCTTCCCAAATTTATAAAAAACTGTAAGGCTCTTTTAGATATATATATATATATATTTTATAACAAAAAATATTTTCTGAGTAATCAACACTCACTTAAATTAAGAAATAGAAATGAAAAGTTGTTTAACGTACAATATTCCGGAGCATCAGAGTTGTGTTAACATCAGTTGTATAAATATTGTATAGATTATTTTTGGGAAGACTAATGCTTCTCGCAGCAATGCATTTACCTTTTTTAGTCAGCACCAGTGTCGTTCACAATAACATTTTTCAGACAAATATTACACATTGTTAGTAATGAATTTATTTTTTATGGCAGAAGCAGCAAAAAATAATTGCCAGTGAGCAGAGCTTCACTGTCCGCAGTAAGGCTGGGACGGGGGAAGAGAAGACGGGGTAATAGGGTGGGTGTGGAGAGAGACAGGCGGACAGACAGACAGACAGAGAGACAGTCATCGTTTCTCCATCTTCTGATGTGTGGTTTCGTCATCAGAATATCGCTACGATTACACACACACACACACACACACACACACACACACACACACACACACACACACACACACTCTCTCTCTCTCACACACTTTCTCTCACTCTCTCTCACTCTCTCTCGCGCGCGCGCGCATTTATAATCAAACGCTCTCTCTGAATGCTCTTTATTCCCTACTTCAAGGCAATAGGTTCCATTAATTGCACCAGAGATGGTACCCATATACAGAATATATATAATATACAAAAACATTGCAGTACATAGATAAAGGATTTAGTGAAAGAATCTTAACATTGGAAGTGAATGAAGCATTTTTGGAAAACCTTCAGAATAATTGTATAAGCCCTTTTAAACAAAAAAATTATCAACCTGATAGAACGGAACAATTGGTAAATTCAAGAGATTTGGCTAATATTTTGAGGACGGTTAGCTGGATATTCATAACCGTGTGGATTACGGCTCGGTTGGTACGTCTGAATCATCCACAGACATAAGATTCGATTCTGGTTGTACCGCTTGTGCCAAAAATTCTTCAAGAAGTGCCTCTAATTGCACCTTCAACTCCTTGTCTCTAGCATCACTCCCACTAAATGCCTCTCCATCCCTGACATTAGATTCTTCATTCGTATCGCGCGATTCTGCATTGGACTCCACGGGTGCATGGTTTCCGCCATTATGCGAGACATGGGCGAGGTGAGGAAGCGGTGTGATGTGGGCCGAAGAGTAGTCTCGAGTGGCAGGAATACGGTCCTCGGGTTCATGGTTACCCCCAGAGCCAGGCGTGTGGAGAGAACTGTCTGCCGAGGACGTCGCCTGAGCCAGAGCCAGCAAGCGGTGAGCCAAGCGATGCACTGCTCGCTGCCGGATCCACTCGCTCTCCTCTTCCGCCGCTACCTGTAAAGGTTGTAGTTATATTATGCATAATATTTACACAGCCGCACGAGCCCTTGACCCTTAACTGGGTTTTGAACGTGCGCTTAATCCATTGTTTGAAATTATTAATATGAAGTATTGTTTTTAGAAATACCTACTAGACTCTAGTACATATTCTTCCCCTCCGTGTGTCATGTTTAATTTCCAGTGTGTGTAACTTCTCGGCGATACTGCAGATTAAACCCATTAGTTTGTACTTAATCTTTCAGCGAATAGAAGCTTTGCTAGTAGTGCCATTAGTCAGTATGAAGAAGATATCGATAAACAAAGGTTTTTACTATTCATGCGAGTAAGAGAAGCTGGCATGTAGGTTAGTGTGTTCTGTCTGTCTGTCTACCATTTTGTTTACTGACACTGCATTAGCTGTTTTCCTATATTGTTGCAGTCCTGTTTCCACTGACTTGCTGTTTATCATAAATGGAGATGAGAAACAGCCACTTGCTATTTAGTCAGACTCCTTCCTCCTCCTCCTCCTTCTTTTAGCCCAAGTGTCTCTGGCATGCTGCCTTTCAGCCTTATGCCTTACCCATCAGTCGTTTCTCTGTTTCCTCTTACCCGTATGTTTCAAGCTAGCTCCCATGACTGCCTCTCATCCATGTGCACACGCGCCTGCTATATCACTGCCTCTCAGCCTCGTACCTCTGGCGTCAACTTTCCCTACTGCCTCTCAGTCCGTTCATCAAGCATTAGTCCACTATGCTGCTTCAGCTTCGTACCATTGGGACCACCGTACTGCCTCTCGGCATCTTGTTTCCAGCATAAGCCTGCGAGAGCTACTCCCCTGGTGACATTATTGGGGATTATCTAGCCGAGCAATTCTGTGCGAAATTGGACGAGGGTTAAGTCCCTTCAAAACCTCACGTACAGTATGTGAATAAATCTTCGTTTCTGTTATCCGGCTCGCCCACTGGTGACGTCACACGTAAGATTATTAAAAAAATTGTTTTTTTCTCGAAAGTTTCAACGACTACTTGTTATTACGGAGGGATTATAACCATAAACAATTATGTTGGTTGAAATAATCACTCCTGGTGATGTCATTATCAAGGATTAGAAGATTGGAATTGTTTCGAAGCTCGGCTCACTGGTGACGTCGAGAGGACGAGGTTTATAACATGATTTCAAGCTTCAAGCGTGATTTGTTTCTCCTTTACTCTACCTACAGTAACATGTGACCGCTTGTGGATAACGCGCACTCGTCACCAAAATCGCCTACCCCCCCCCCCTTCTTCCGCTAACACGTTCTGGTCATGTTTATCCAGAAATGCTTAACACTTTCTGATATTTCACAGCGAGTGAGATCCCCTCGGAAGAAAACGGAAATAGCATGGTTGGTCTCGCCCCCCCCCTCCCCTCCCCCCTTTCTCTCTCTCTCTCTCTCTCTCTCTCTCTCTCTCTCTCTCTCTCTCTCTCTCTCTCTCTCTCTCTCTCTCTCTCTCTCTCTCTCTCTCTCTCTCTCTCTCTCTCTCTCTCTCTCTCTCTCTCTCTCACTTTTTCTTTCTTTTGCCTTCCTTCTCTCCCCCACCTGCAATAATTGCATGAAATACCTCTTAAGAGTCTGAGAGCTATACTATACTCTTCGATAGTAAGCAATTTTCTCAGACTAACAAGTTTACCGTGACTGCGCTCGTCTTAGCGAGCGTTGGTGATATCATTAATACACGCTCACACACGTGCAGCGTTTCTTGATATCATGTACACACACACACACACACACACACACACACACACATGATAGAACCCAGTAGGCTCAGGAATCTGTACACCAGTTGATTGACAGTTGAGAGGCGGGACCAAAGAGCCAAAGCTCAACCCCCGTAAGCACAAATAGGCGAGTACACACATATGTATTCATTCCAGCATTAACATATATACAAGTGCGTTTAAATATTGTATGACTGGTAGTTGGAACATTCTCAATGACAAGTGGTGTTCAAGGAGATATTCACATCCACATATAGACCTGCAGACACAAAATTTATTGTGTCTGTAGGTCGGACACGATAGCACCAGCCGTTTCTTTCACCCAATACACCGACATTTTTACGGGTTCGGCCAATACGTTAAAAATGCGACATATTACTAAGAAAAAAAAAGATCGTAAAGTTGACGTTTTTTTTAGCATTCGCCAAGATAGGCTAGGAGAGTTGTTTCTGTTCGTATGTTTCTGGTTAGGTAGAATAGTTTTATTTTTTTTTACGGAGTGGCAAATCCTGGTGATAAGGCTCCTTTATAGCGAGAATTCATTAGCTACGGCTATATAGTTCTACCTGTGTGGGCGTGGGTGACAGTCCCTGTCTGTGTGGGCGTGGGTGACACTCCCTGTCTGTGTGGGCGTGGGTGACAGTCCCTGTCTGTGTGGGCGTGGGTGACAGTCCCTGTCTGTGTGGGCGTGGGTGACAGTCCCTGTCTGTGTGGGCGTCGGTGACAGTCCTATACCTGTGTGGGCGTGGGTGACAGCCCTTACCTGTGTGGGGCGTGGGTGACAGCCCTTACCTGTGTGGGGCGTAGGTGACAGCCCTTACCTGTGTGGGCGGTGTCATGGTGAGAGCGAGGGCGTGTGCACGTTGCAGCACCGTTGGCGGGATGGGCGTGATAGCGGCCATAGCCAGGCCGTAGTTGGTGGCCCGAGTCACGCCCTTGCGGACGACGTGTGTCAGCTGCAGGCGCCCCGACCCGCCATCCTCACTCTCCAGATGGTAGCTGTGGGGGAGATGAGCGTGCGTCACTCTGGGATGCTGCAGCTGGCTGTGGGATGGTCCCAGCTGGCTGTGGGATGCCCCCCAGCTGGCTGTGGGATGCCCCCCAGCTGGCTGTGGGATGCCCCCCAGCTGGCTGTGGGATGCCCCCCAGCTGGCTGTGGGATGGTCCCAGCTGGCTGTGGGATGCCCCCCAGCTGGCTGTGGGATGCCCCCCAGCTGGCTGTGGGATGGTCCCAGCTGGCTGTGGGATGCCCCCCAGCTGGCTGTGGGATGCCCCCCAGCTGGCTGTGGGATGCCCCCCAGCTGGCTGTGGGATGCCCCCCAGCTGGCTGTGGGATGGTCCCAGCTGGCTGTGGGATGCCCCCCAGCTGGCTGTGGGATGCCCCCCAGCTGGCTGTGGGATGGTCCCAGCTGGCTGTGGGATGCCCCCCAGCTGGCTGTGGGATGCCCCCCAGCTGGCTGTGGGATGTCCCCCAGCTGGCTGTGGGATGCCCCCCAGCTGCCTGTGGGATGCCCCCAGCTGGCTGTGGGATGCCCCCCAGCTGGCTGTGGGATGCCCCCCAGCTGGCTGTGGGATGCCCCCAGCTGGCTGTGGGATGCCCCCCAGCTGGCTGTGGGATGCCCTCCAGCTGGCTGTGGGATGGTCCCAGCTGGCTGTGGGATGCCCCCCAGCTGGCTGTGGGATACCCCCCAGCTGGCTGTGGGATGCCCCCCAGCTGGCTGTGGGATGCCCCCAGCTGGCTGTGGGATGTGCCCCCGCAGATGGTGAAACATTCTAGACAACAATGCGGAAGACGGCATGAGTGGTAACACTGACTTGCCAACAAGCCTGCCAACATAATTTAGAAGATGGAATTGGAGTACTCACTTGGCCACACAGGGGTAGAGGTTGGCGAGCCTGGTGAGGAAGAGGGCGTGGGTTGCCAGGACGGTGGTGGCGCGGGCGTGTATGAGCGCCTCCATGATGGCCCAGGCCAGGGCGGCGCCCTCCTCCACGCTGGTGCCGGAGCCCAGCTCGTCCAGCAGCACCAGGGACTCCCGCCCCGCCCCGCTCAGCATGTGCGCCACGTCGCTCATCTACCACGCGCGCGCACACATGTCAACAACAATTAAAATATGTATTGTATATACATGTATCTATAAAATGGAATGTGTCTCTTAAGGATAAAGGTCAGACGCTTTGAGCTAGCCTGATTAAACTTTGCAAGGTGACTGGTGGGTGTTAAGCGACTGGCATAGGCAGGTCGGGGTCGGCTGCGTTGGTGTCCCTTCTAATGAAGTAGGCAAAGATGAAGTGGTGGTAGCCAAGTCTACAGAGTTTCAGTTGTTTATAATGTCACAGAATTCAGGTAACAGATTTGCATTCTCAGGATTCCCAACACTAAATTAGCAAACCCTTTTGAGGTCGACCCGGGCACCGCTGGGTACCCCATTTACTCTAATATATATAGTTTTAGCAATAAACATTAGGAAATAACATGATTAGTTTGATTAAAATGTTGATATAAGGCCACATCCCCACACACGTGAACATTAAAACACGCGGGACAGCCTTAGCCCGCGATTGAAAAAATTGTTTTATGATTCGCCTAATTTATTATTCTGTAGGAGTGAAACTTGAGCAGCTTGAGATCAGCCACAAGCACTCAGGAGTAAACTCACGTAAAGTAAACCTACACTCATTTTCACTCTACGATAGGAAAACCTTTAGAGTCATAATCTACAGAACTAATATATAACACATTAACACAAATCACGTTAACGTGATATATATCAGTGTGAAAAATCCACTGGGGCTGTGAGGTATGCGGCTTGGCAATGCTGGGGTCGCGGGTTCGAGCCCACCTCACAGCCCTGGTGGATTTTCTCATATAACACACTGAATCACAGGTTTTGTTCCTGGGTAGTAAGTGGCATTTTCTGATTGTTTATGCCTCCAAAATATGGAAAATGGCTATTATTTCTACTCAAACTTTACTATGACCTTTGACTCGGGGAGCTTAAGGAAGGCGTCTTGGAGATGCCTGAAGAATGTGTATGTGGATGGTTCGGTTACTCTGAGGATTATTTTGTGTAACCGACCTCGCCTAACCTTCTTAGTATGTTAAGATAAGCATCAGTGACCAAAGCGGAGAGATGTCCCATTTGGATTATCTAGGGCCAATATATGGCACAGTTTCATGGATTTAAACTCATGCGCATACAATAAAACCTTTCCAGAAACTGGCCAAAATAGGGATTGTGTTGCTGTATGCGCCTGCTATATACACAGCAACCTACACAATGCAACCCATTCAGGATCCTGGTTATTATCTAAATTACCTAATTTATTATCTAAAATTATCTAATTTTAGATAATGAATTATCTAAATTATCTAAAATTAGATCTAAAATTATCTAAATTATTATTATCTAATTATCAAGAATTATCTAAAAAACATTATTATTTTTCTAAAAAATGATCTAAAAACAATCTTTATAGAGCTCGGCCTACTTAAAATGCATCAAAGTGGGTCGTACATAAGCCAGAGATCATCTCAGAGCGGGAGATTTAAAAAATATGAATAGGACAGAAACCCCTAAGCACAGCACAAAATGAAAGGGGATACAGCTTTCCAGCTCGGAGAGTTGGAAGAAGTCATCTCTAAATCTAACACTGGAAGTACATATAAACATAATATAATCAGCAGCGTATGCAAAGCTGATAACAAATATCAACTGATACTTGAATCAGAATTATAACAAAGTACATGAATTTTTAAGTAACCTACAGAGCCATCTACTGGCGCAGTGGTAAACTGCTCTACGCAGTTTACCGCGAGCGGAAACCTAACAAGTTATCAACGCCCACATAATATTTCACAGTCCAAGAGTTAAATTAATAAATTATTACAAAATAACTAATAATAGTAATATCATTTTTGCACTAATCAAAGGGTACCACTTGGGTTGGACGGTAGAGCGACGGTCTTGCTTCATACAGGTCGGCGTTCAATCCCCGACCGTCCAAGTGGTTGGGCACCATTCCTTCCCCCCCCGTCCCATCCCAAAATCCTTATCCTGACCCCTTCCCAGTGCTATATAGTCGTAATGGCTTGGCGTTTTCCTCCCCTGGTTGTTCCCTTGCCATAAACTTCTCCCCGCTGAGGCCTTCCCTCACCTGGACCTGGAAGGTAGAGGCGTTGTTTTCCGGGGAGTCTTCCGAGCCCAGGTGAGTGTAGATCTGACGCACCAGACGCACCGAGGCGAACTCTGCTGGCACGAAGCTCCCAATCTGTGGAAAAATATGTTAGGTGATAGAATGATGATGAAGATTAAGCCACCCAAAAGGTGGCACGGGCATGAATAGCCCGTAAGTGGTGGCCCTTTTGAGCCATTACCAGTATCAATAGCTGATACTGGAGATCTGTGGAGGTGCGACTGCACCCTGCGTGACGGGAGATGTCTCCCGTAGGTGGTAGAAAATAAGATGGAGCTTAAGGAAGGAAGTTTGTTTTTTGAATAGGTGAGGTGATTGATTGATGAAGATCAAGCCACCCAAGAGGTGGCACGGGCATGAATAGCCCGTAAGTTAGGTGAGCTTGTGTGATTGTGCTAATATATTATATTTGTGTTTACGGGAGGTGGGAGATTGCAGCCCAGGACCATGTAAGGGAAATAGGTCAGGCGTCACTGCACTAGACAACCAGCGGCTAGGGAAAGGAAGGGTGCAAGGGGGTAATGCTTTACGGGCTATTCATGCCCGTGCCACCTCTTGGGTGGCTTAATCTTCATAAATTATCATCATTTTGGTAATGTTCGATCCAGCAGACGCACGCACGCACGCACGCTCGCTCGCTCTCTCTCTCACGTTCTCGCTCACTCACACATGCATATATATACAAAGCCAAGGGTAACACACGGGAGACATCTCCCGTCACGCAGGGTGCAGCCGCACCTCCACAGATCTCCAGTATCATCTATTGATGCTGGTAATGGCTCAAAAGGGCCACCACTTACGGGGTATTCGTGCCCGTGCCACCTTTTGGATGCCTTAATCTTCATCAATCAATCAGGGGTAACATTTTAGAGCGGCAGAGAGAACATACCTGTGCAAGGACCTGGATGAGAGCGATCTGACGAAGGTAAGTGCTTTTACCGCTCATGTTAGGTCCCGTCACCACCATCACCCGGTTCTCAGGGCTCAGGAACTGTTAGGGAAGGCACGAAATAAATGAAAGCGACTTTGCAATTAATTGTGGTTATCTGCATCTAAAGTAATAACAAATACTGGGTCAAGAACATAAGATAGGAAACTACAGGAGGACATACTGACTTATCAAAGGCAGCTCCTAATTATACCCAACCAAACTCAATCACATACATGTCTAACCTGCGCTTGAAACAATCCAGTGATTCCCAGGGTAAAGATTCGTCAAGCATTTATGCAGCCACTTACGAAGCCTGTACACCTTTCCTCAATCATGGTGGCTTCGTTTATATTCAACAGTTTGAGATTTGAAAATCAATACCTAAGGTTATTATTGTTTAATAAACAACCTCAAGGTGATTCCGAGCTCATAAACTATTTAATAAATGTAAAGAAAGTGGCAATGATTAAGGGAAGATGTACAGGTGTCGTAAGTGGTTGCCTAAGAGCTTGATGAACCCTGGCCTTGGGGGTACCAGGTTGCTTGCTAGGAAGCAAGCACCCACCGTGTTGCAGGCGATAAGTCACAATAACGTGGCTAAAGTATGTTGACCAGACCACACAGCCCCTTCTCCTTCTAGTGTGTGGTCTGGTCAACACCCACCGTGTTGTTTGGCACTGGCGGCAGTGTGGCGAGGACGTCGAGGATGGGGTGCCTCCCAGTGCGGATGGCCAGGGTGTGTGAGAACTCCGGCCGAACCCAGGAGGCGAGTGCCGCAGCGTGCGCCAGCCCCACCACGAGGTCCAGGGTGGCCACCGCCTCCCCCAGGCCGTGAAGGGCCCCCATGCGACCCCGAGCCTCCACTAACATCTCCACCACGATCCTACAATGGAAAACGATGTTTCGTAATCTACACTTACCCATATTTGAAAATCACGTAATGTTCTGTATCTGCTCACGTGCAGTTAATATTATATATTCATATAACACACACACATGGTCACCACCTTATGGGGAAGGCATGATCACCACCTACAAAATTCTCAAGAGGAATTGACAAGATAGACAAAGACAAACTTATTTAGCATGGGTGGAACACGAACAAGGCGACATAGGTGGTAATGTAGTACCCAAATGAGCCACAGAGACGTTAGAAACAATTTATGTGCCAGAGTATAGAGTAGTTAACAAATGGACTGCATTAAGCAGTGATGTGGTGAAGGTAGACTCTATACACAGTTTCAAAATGTAGGTTTGATAGAATCCAATAGGCTAAACAATCTGTACACCAGTTGATTGACAGTTAAAAGGCGGAACCAAGGAGCCAAACCTCAACCCCCGCAAGCACAACTAGGTGAGTAAACACACACAGGGGGATTGACAGAGTGGAAATAGTCCCCGGTGGAAGCTGGAAACTCAGACAAGTCAGAGATTTTAGGAAGTTTTCATTTAGCGTGAGAGTAGTTAAAAAATGCAGTTTCTTTCACCCTGATGAAATGTTCTTTCACCCTGATGTTCGCCTAGCAGTAAATAGGTACCTGAAAGTTAGACAGCTGGTACGGGCTGCTTCCTAGGAATGTGTGTGTGTGTGGGGGGGGGGGTGTTAGAGATAAATGTATGTAGTAGACATGATAGAGGAAAAATAAATTGGTTAGAAAGGCGGGGTCCAAGAGCTAATAGCTCAATTCTGCAGGCACAAATATAAATAGTAAATACACACACATCCTCACCCATACATTTCTGTTCTCATTGTACCCTTTGAAACTGTGTTTATATAAAAGAACTCTCAGGTTTTTTTATTTATTTTATAGATACGCATAATCGAACAGCGTGTTTTAAGTCGTGCGTAAGTTAATTACGAAGACAACATGTACCGTACACTAATGATTGTAGAGGCCGAGACTGGGAAAGCCTTTGGAGCCCCACACCGCAGGAAACACGAACACCAGACCAGGAAGGAGCGCTGCAGCAGTGAGGTGGACAAGAGCCCCGGGCGCCAGAAAGGTCAATGCCGGTATCATCCCACCCGAGGACTTTTTATCCTCTGGCTGAGATCAAAATTATACCTCTCAAATATTACTCGAGTGAGTAGTAGCCCAAATGGCTATTCTGTGTGCATAATACATCCATCTGTCATTTATATAAGTGCAGATTCAATCCCCTTTGTATATATAGCATGGGTACACTTCTAATGTTTATTTAAGGCGCACACCTCTCAGAGTCTGCGAACAGTCACTAACGCAAGTGACGAGTTATCACCCAGTGTTTACGTTGTCTGAATTGGGTTGTCAATTTAGTTGAATTTGGCTGAATTTACATCAGCTGGAAAATCCAAACAGACGCAACCTGTACATGGGACAAAACAAATGCCATTTTGCTTCCACAGTTTACCATTGTTTTTTTTCTAACAATTCAGAGAGTGATGTCACGGCTAATTGCTGCTTTCATGTGGTTTTTGAACACTTGGGGCGTACTGTAGATGTGCTCAAACGTGAATTATTGCTGCCAGGAATGCTGATGTTACTGCTTCTCCCAAACACCTCATCACGTGACCTCTCAGACACCTTAAAACGTGGTCTCTCTCTAATACATTTACGGGCTCACCATAGCCCGTGCTACATGAACATTTCGTTCTGAGTAGCTAAATCTAAAACAACAACAACAGCAGCAAATACATTGGGGAAAGAGGAGGAAACCCCACTTTCATTTAATACTTTGACCCAAATAGCAGAGTAACAAGATTATTGCAAATACCCGAACTCAATTACGGGCTAACCATCGCCCGTGTTACATGGACATTTCGTTCTGAGTAGCTAAATCAAAAAACAACAGCAAATACATTATAATAAACTCATCCAATTTGAACCCCCCTTCCCCCTTAGAGCAAGCTTTGTATAGCGATTATTACAGTCGTGAAATAAACTCAAACATTCCCGGTCTTTTAAAGTAAACATTTATTGGAAATCCGTAAGTCCAAAACAATCCGTAGTAACTTCGTTTTCGCCGCTGGAATTATGATAACAGAGTTCCGGACTTGTGCAAATTTGTTTCAAACGTTGATCAAGATTACTTGCTCAAAGAACTGCAAAGTCCCGCGGAAACTCTCACACACACACACGAAGTTCCCAACTCCCTCTGAAAAACGAAAACGGACAGGTATTGATATTACGAACATAATATATGAAGGAGAAAGCGAATAAAGAAAGTTGGAGAAAGGACGCCGTGAGAGAGGGGAATGGAGGGTATTATCGATACGCATGAAGAGATTGCGTTCGAACATGTCTTTGTGAACATCAAATCAACAGTTCCATGGCGTAGATGAGTCGAACAACGACGGAACGGTGAGACAGAATAACAGATGGGAGTGATATGGCCTCCGCCCAGTTGCTTAATGAAATTGGTCTTGGAACTCAGACGCCGAAAAATTGCTTCTGCGATGAGGCCCGATATATTGGGGAAGGGTGGGTGTGGGGGGGGGGGTAAGAGAGGGGTGATTAAAGGGAGGGGGAGATGGGAGGGAAGAGATGGTTTATGAGGGAAAGGGTGGGGGGGGGGTATATGGGAATAGGAGGTCAAGGGCCGTGGTGAGCATCATTGGCAAGCCAGCACATGCTCTAGATTTGCCTCTTCGTAAACAAAAATGCAAAATCTCTCTTCCCAACTAGAAACATACGAACCCAAGCAACCCGCCTAGCCTATCGAAACCGATACATAGAGTAAGTCAATATTACAGTGTTTTAAATTGAACTAATGCGGTTAATTTTTAATGCTTCCGTCGAGTCCGTTGAAAAAGCGACGTATTAACTGAAAGGACGGACCACTCCTCTTGGGCGAAATAGTGCGTCCTTTTTCTTCCTCCGCCCGACCATGGGGACACCTCTTGGTCTCCCCATGGTAGACCAGACTAGAGATTCGGTCTCCGGATGACCCAGAGCCACACAGATAAAACACTTACCAGAAAAAAATAAATATTAGAAAGTGATAATTTTAAAAACATCGCATAAGTTTGAATGAGTCTACCAAGAGAGAGAGAGAGAGGTAGGGAAAGAGAGCAACCTGCTCAACTACAAAGAACGTCGCTTTTCGCTCGTATGCGTCACATAAGGCCAACAATTATCGGACTAGAAAATGGAAGCGGCTGGCGAAAGTGACGTAATATCCCGTTTTCTGTTTTGGGTCCTCTGGTAGGTTCAAATTGACCGTTTTATGGACGTTGGGAAACCTTAGGAGGACGGGCTGAAGAGAGGGAGAGAGAGAAAAAGAGAAATAATTAACAAAAATAATATAAAAGATAAGCAAATGGTAGATGTGGGGTGGGGGGCGGGGGGGAATAACAAAGTTAATATAAGCCAAGAAATAAGAGGTGAGAAAAAACAATAAACAGCATTTTTATTAAATAAAGCAGGGACCATTTTAAAGCCTAGTTCGGGCTAATAAAGGAGACGGGCACTAAACAGGAAAACCCCAGATTTGTTGTTAACACTTTAAACAAAATTGGGTATGTGGGTGATGGAAATGTGAGGGTTAATTGGGTGTCAAGGAACAGGGTGGAGTGTGGGGGGGGGCGTCGAGGAACAGGGTGGGGTGCGGGTGGCAGGTTACTCACACATTACTCATGATGAGGATCTCCCTGAGCGTATCTCTGGAACGCTGGTCCAATTGGTACAGGTGTTCCGTGGTACAAGAGACGTACCCTCGTCCGCGCATCACCTGTGGAACACTGTACCGTGTCAAAACACACACACACACACACACACACACACACACACACACACACACACACACACACACACACACACACACACACACTCCGACTCTCCTAAGGACACAGAGTAAACCTCTTACCACCACTGACCCACTTTGAGATAAAAGCACCCAAAGTGTTTCCGAAAGCCAAGGTCTTGAGCCACTTCCAGTATGGTAAAGACGTTAAAGGGGAGAGGGGGATGTGAAGTACGGGGGTTGGAAGGTGGGGAACTGGAGGGAGAAGTTAGACTCGGTTAGGCTGCGTACGAGCACAACATATATGGTCAGATGATCGTACGGTGAGTTGGGGAAGAGTTTGCACGTATGAGTTTAGATTCCATTCACCTGGGCTGTAGGAGTCTCGAACCGTGGACCCCCACGCGTGTGAAGCCCAAGCTCTATTGACTGGGCTAGAAGCTGATCAATGGGTGTACCCTGGTAACAAAAAAAATAATCCCCACTCAAATATATAAATCAATAACAAAAGATTTTTCTTTGTGTAGAACAGTGAGGAACCGAGATAGTTCTACACTGCCCCAAAATGAAAGGAACATTCGCTTTATGATCATATGAGATGTTTAACTTACAAGACAATATGATGCGTGTCTCACAAAATATAGCAGGCTACCGGAAGAAGCCTAAGTTAGCGTACTTAGATTAGGCTGCACAGTGGCCGGTTTAAAACCTAACATTAACCTATTAATTAACATTTATATTAAAAAACAGCAGGGATAAAAATAACAGATGATAGTTTGTAAGTGACATTAACGTTGACATGGACATTTACTGTGGCAATATGAGCAGTAATAATTGTAATTATAATTGTTGTCATCACAGATAAATTATAAAACGCCAGAGCAAAAATAAACAGGACTCTACTGAACGTGACTTGGGAAAGCTGCCATTAGTGTTCCTTGGTCAACACAAAGGACAGCTAAAGCAGGGGAACAAAACCCCGCCTTAAGCAGAGCTGACAGGCCAGTCACGACGCACAAGGGTGGACACACCGAACTCATGGCCAGAATTTGATTGCTTCCGATTTTGCCAGGTTTCTTGCGAGAAGGAATGGTGAACCAAGTCCAATGGACTGTGGGGAAGGGATGAGGGTTGGCTTCAAGCTATGTGGGGAGTGGGAGGATTACGTGAGTCTTACTCGAGACAGAATGTGTTGAGGAATACTTACTTGACTGCATGTCAAGCGAGGCTTAACTCAGTCTCTCTCACACACACACACACACCGGTGACTGTGGGTGGGGCGCCGGTGTGCGCGATTATATATATATATATATATATTGGTGTATACTGGCAGCAGGTTTTCTTTCAAACATGTTTCATTGAATATGACCGCATATTCTGTATTTATTATTTTCTGGTTTAGGGCTTCTATCCCTCTAACTATTTTCTTAGCATCAGGGCTTAATTGGAATAGGAGTTCTAAAAGAACTAGAACTCCTATTCCAATTAAGCCCTGATGCTAAGAAAATAGTTAGAGGGATAGAAGCCCTAAACCAGAAAATAATAAATACAGAATATGCGGTCATATTCAATGAAACATATATATATATATATATATATATATATATATATATATATATATATATATATATATATATATATATATATATATATATATCTGTGTGTAGAGAGTTAGTAGGCCGGTGATTGTACTGTGATCAAGTTGCATCCTTGACCTGGCTTGTGGCTGTGTCATTGTGCTGCATAATATTTTAATAAACTTGGCCTGCGGAGCTTGCAATTAGCATATCTAATTTACAATTATCGCGCACAAGACTCACAAGAGTGAGCTGCTAGATGCCAGACTCACCTGGATGAAGACGCTTGGGAGACGAGGAGGGGCGGCCCGTTTGGCGACAGGAATGGTGATATGGAAGCCCCTGGCGGCGTTATGGCCGACCCGTGCACACACGCCATGCTCTCGACCCGTGCTCTCCACGTGCTCTGGCGTGCACACGAGAAGATGGTTAGTTGCTTGCCTTACCTCTCACTTCAGCCCTCTAGCTTAAGCATTACTATCCAAATGTTTTGTCTCAGTAGTGTGTGTGTCTTAGATTCCTGTGGTTGATTGGTATATATGCGTATCTTTTGCTCACATACGTTGACTATTACTTTATATGTGGTGTGTGTGTGTAATTCATAAATATGCAAATATACAAATTTCTGCATATATTCGTCATACAGCTACGAATGTATGCATACACAACCTACAGATCCGACACTTCATCCAACAAGGTCCTGCCCTCCATTACTCTTCTTGCCTTACTCTTAAAGTGTGTCTCCTTACTCTTTCCCCGAGGATTCCCTGAGGGATCTAACCTGTGATATCGTCGATAATCTCAGAGTAGATCTTGCGAGCGACGTCGAGTAGGCCGTTAACATGGCTCCTGATGGCGTAACAGCGCTGGGTTCTCATGGCGGCGGCGCCCTTCACCAGGCGGGCGTCCTCGTGTAGTACCTGCCGTAGCACCTCCAGTAGCTCCCTCAGTACCGTGCTCCTCACCGCCTGAAACACACCACACCACACTCATCAACAGTGACCCTTGCTAAGGAAAGACCATGAAACCGATCAAGGTTTCAACAAATTGAAAAATCATTTCATCAAATCAAAACTCGTGCAACAATGTGTTGTTCTGAACACCAAGGTAATGCAGCACACTGCTGAAAGCTGAATAGCATCACTACTGTACATTTAAAAGCTCTTTTTGCCAGATTTTTTTAACTGTAAGCATATACAAAATTGTTTCCTAATATGCACTATCCTAGTTTGTACAATGTGCACATGGCCTGATGTCCTCCATAAGCAAGTTTCCTCGCTCCTCGCAAGCAAATTGCCAGCTGAAGCTTTTTTTTTTTTTTAACACACACGGCTGTTCTTCTTTTTTCCTATAAATTTCGGCCATTTCGGACCTCACATTCATCATTTTACCTATGAAACTGATGTTGACTCGTTCTTTACAGACCTTGACACTATTATTATTATTTTATTAGGCTATTATTTTCGCAACTTCCATTTACACATATTTAGGAGTTGTATTTGAAGATAAAAACCACATTTCTACAATTTTTTTTTAATTTACTTCTGTCTTGAATTCTTAATTCATTTCTCTAACAAAACTTACCCTAGAGAAAAATCTTTCCCCCAAACTCGCGTAACTGTTCCAAGAAGCAGACAGATCTCGACAAATTTCTCCACAAACATACAAATATTTCTATAGAGAACAGGAAACTCTCGTTACAGGGAGGCGCCATTATCAAGTTGGTCAAGCAAGGCATTGTAGCGCTCCTATTCGTTCAGCCTACAGCAGTTGCTTTCCTTTCCTGGGTTTGCCCAGCAAGTTCTTAAATATTATCAACACACGTTCAAAAATAACTGGCAGAGGGTTTTATCAACAAACTGATTAGAGTTTAAGTTATAATGTTAAAAAAAAAAGTCGCAGCCATTTCTACTTGTTTCAACATACGCAAATTTGAATAATTACAAAACAGGTAATTCGCGCGTATTAGGTAAAACTCGCAATTATATCTAAAACTAATTATAAACCAGATAAACTCTATAATCTCTAACCAAATTAGCTAACTAAATGGTCGAAGTTTCTTCCTTTTTCATAATATTGCTATTTTTAGTATATTAAAGTATTTTATTTTTTTATTTGTAAACCTTTTTCGTGAATATATGTTTAGAACTTGAATACATGTTTGGTCTTGAAAACACCACTGATTCTTGAGGAAATTTGCCACGAGTTTCGTGCATGTGCTATACTTAGGAAGAGTCGTGACTTTGCTACCTACCAATTAACGTTGATCAATACACGAATACTGGCCACAGAAAGAGAGCGAGAAATTAGAGAAATGTGATGAATGTTGCTCACCTCTCTGACGGAAAGCAGGAGTGGATCGGTGACGCCAACGAGGGCGTTGGCCAGCGGGTCCAGTAACTCGAGTGTGTTCTTCAGGGCTATGACGTAGTTGAGGCGGAGCTCGCACCGCTGCTCGGTCTCCTGAACACGTCACGGAAATATAAAAATCATTTCTGAGACGAAGCGAGAAAGAGGTAGGCTGACACGGACTATGATAGGCTTCTCAGTATTAAGAACACTTATCATACATTGGTGTCCATTGCACCTGACAACAGTATGTAAACCTAAGGCAATATTAATGATGATTCATACACTATGAATCAAATATTCACAGTGTATATGAGCGACATGAGGAGTGGGCTAGCCTCGTACATTGCCAAAGGTTGAAGTTAAGTTTAAATGTCAGGTGATCTTTGTTCGGCGGCGTTGACACAGTGGTGGGTGGAATTGTTTATCAATTAATCTAAAACTATTAAATATTAATCCCACAGAAATGGGAGAAAAATGAGAGGGAGAAAAGAGGGAGGGGAAAAACATGAAACACACACACACACTATAGTTCTCAACCCCCGCAAGCAACTTTTTTTTTATCTTTATTTAAGAAAATACAATATAAATCATATATACATAAGTTTTACAAGGCAATACTACAGCTAGGCGAGTATGAGTAGGTGACTACACACTCAAATGATAAAGCATCGGTTCTCACCTCTTTCGGCACCTGCACACACATAGAGAGCAGCCAGTCCACGTCGGGGAAGCGCCCCAGTATTGACTGCAATAAACGCGCTCCATTAAACCCAAGAAGTGTCAGCACTACAAATTAACGACAGCTTCCCTAGAGGTCGAAACTCGAAATGATTCACCAATGAAGCCTAAGATTGTTGACTTTTTTTTCTTCCTGTCTCTGTTTTTAACTGTCTTTAACTGTCCAATAAATATCCTTAAAAAGAAAAATACATTTCATCAGTCACATCGTCGAGGTTACACAGTCCTTCCACCGACACAGGAGGGTTATGGAACCCATAGTAAACTAATTAAAGTTTGTACAGATAATAAAATGAGAGGAAGTTTACCTGCAGGGTGTAGAAGAGGTCTGAGTGCTCGACGAGGTACTGCAAGGTATCGAGGCGGGTCGTGATGGTGGCGGCGTCGGCGTGAGGCTATGTTGAGGTGGTAGTGGTGATGGTGAGCCCGATACGTCAGGTCAAGGACCAGCGGCAGGGGGAAGAAGAACGAAAAAGTTGCTTAGAGAGGAGGAGGAGGATATCAAATATTAGAGGGAAGTAGAGATCGAGAGAGAGGGAAGACAAATAGAGGAGGAGGAAGACGAGGAACAGAAAAGGGGAAATATCAAAAGAGTTGAGGATATTTGTTGTGAAGGAAGAAAAATATAACATTAGGAAATAGGAAAAGCGATGGTTGGGAAGCACAAGGGTGTAGGGGGGAAAACGTGGGTTGAAAAAGGAAAGGGGGGAATAGGAGAAAGAAAGAGAGATAAGGAGGAGAGGAAGAAACCAAACGTTAGTAAGAACCATACTGTCAAGCGCGCGAGATACATATTAAGATACAGCGGACGTGTCCCGGTCTCTGATTATCATGCGTGATACAACACGATTACAAAAAAAAACTTTAATGTCAGCACAAAAAAAACAATGAAATGAAACATATTGACCTCATCTTAACCTAGTTATCATCGATATACAGAAGTTATCTGAGCAAGGTCAGCTATTTTGGAAGCTCTATTTTAATATTAATATTTTTAATATTTAATTTAATTTAATATTTTCTATTTTTATTTTAACTCTACATGTCAGCTAAGTATGCTATCTTGAAGGCTCCACCACAGCCGCCACATTTAACCTATTTCAGGAGAGTACGATATCTCCTACCATAGTACATCTATTACAGATAAGCTATCGTAGCCTAAGAAGTAATCTACAAACAATTACATAAGCAACAGTAATTTTTGAAGTTGGCACCAACGCTAAAGGAAATTAAGCTATTTCAACTAAGTGAGCTAACTTAGCTTCCCTGCAGTGTTTGTGTCGGCTTCTATCTCAACCAACTAAGCTATTTTAGAAGCTGATACAGACATTAAACATAAGCGCACTAATCATATTGTACATGTTGTTCCACGCAGTATTGGGTAATGTTTGGCAAGGGTAAATGATTGATTGATTGATGAAGATTTAAGCCACCCAAAAGGTGGCACGGGCATGAATAGCCCGTAAGTGGTGGCCCTTTGGAGCCATTACCAGTATCATTAACTGATACTGGAGATCTGTGGAGGTGCGACTGCACCCTAGGAAGAGGTCGTGACCTCTGAAGGGTAAATAATTACCTGGAGTAGAGTGAAAGGGAGAACCATTACCTGAAGGGAGGGTGCAAAGGGGGAGAACCATTACCTGAAGGGAGGCTGCAAAAGGCAAACTCTTACCTAAGGGGAGATGGTGATAGTTGCCACAAAAGCAAGATACCTTTTACCTGAGGGAAGGGTGAGTCAAAGTTAACCCGTAGAATAGTGATTACCTGTCTGCAAGAGCGAAATAAATCAGTTTACCTGATGGAGGGGAAACTTATAGAAAGGACATAACACCTTCGTTTACAAACAGCTTACTTAAAGATACATACATACAGTATAAGAGAATATAGTTAACATAAATGCAGAGATTACCTAAATGAATACGAAGATTTAACTTAAATGTGTTCGATAAATCCATTAGTGTTTTTGTTTTTTTGTTTTTTTGCATCCATTTAAGTAAGATTTGTTATCCATTTAGGAGTATGCAGCCAGTTTTCTTGGGCTAAGTGCCGCTTACTTGAGACTATTATGCAGAGGAGAGAGAGTTTACCTGTAGGAGGGAAGCCCTGAGGAGCCTGGTGCCCGCAGGGGTCCTGGTATGTCTGAGGGCGCCGAAGAGGGACTCCTCCCACCCTCCTCGCAGACTTCTCACCAACTCCAGTTTACGGCACGACGAGTACTCTGAAGCAAGGGCACGGGTGAGTACTGTGAGGCAAGGGGGCACGGGTGAGTACTGTGAAGCAGGGGCACGGGAGTTAGGCAACTGCTGTAGGTCACATCTTTGGAAAGGTCGAGTAGTTGGTGTCGGGAACTAGGCCATCAAGGCCCTCCTAGGGCAGTGGTTAAGAAGGCCTCGATAACTCTAAACAGACGTCCAGTCTCTAACTATGGTGGGGGGGACAATAAGGTGAACCATATCTTAATAATAAGAGAATATTTACAGATGATCCTTTCATGTGCAGGCCATTTGAAGTGGTCAATTTTAAATTCAGTATGTACAGGTATGACTCCAGTGGTCTGGAATAGGGGGGGGCCTGTACTTGGGCTTGTTCCCCTTAGGTTGAATTGCTGACACTCCCCAACATGCCACCCACAACAGTTGATTATCTTCGGGGTACCTATTTATTGCTAGGTGAACAGCGGCATTGGGTGAAAGGAAACGTGCCCATTCATTTCTGTCCCAACCTGGGCGATGAGGGGGGGGGGGTCGGTGGAGGAGAGGGAGATAGGGAAGAGGGGAGGGTCGGTGGAGGGGAGAGACAGGGAAGAGAGGGGGTCGGTGGAGGGGAGGAAAGACAGAGAGGGGATCGAGGGGTCGGTGGAGGTGGAGAGACCTTGAGGAGTTCAGGACGTACCAATGGTCATGGTATTCTCGGAGGAGGAGAGGGAGACGAGGAGGCTGTGTGGGGCGTAGGTGACGTGCTGGATGTGCTCCACGTACTTCATCACCGCTGCCACCGCCGCCAGACAGTAGTACCTGCAACGAGACCCTTCGTCATCACTCGCTCGTCTTCTGTTATCTAACTTTTTTACCTGATTACTAAGCAATATATATTCTATCCTAGCAATTACTCCCGAGTTGGACAATTAGCGTACATAACCAGTGGGCATATACTGGGCAAACGATAGTGATACAATGTTGAATCAACGTCAATAACGTTGATTCAACGTTACTTGAGCATATGTTGCCCACAGGGTAAAGTTATGCATGTTACTTCGTTCAAGATTGATACGTGTTGTGACAAAATTTGTCCTAGAAAGTATGTCTTCAGTGCACACTGTGTACTTTTAACCCGTAGAGTATGGCTCTAGTGTCAACTGACATTGAAGGTTTTATTACCACTACTACCTTATTCAATCTTGTGTTGATGATATTCTCAAAATGCTTCTGGAGTCTGCCAGTGCAGACTGCCCATCACATGCCTCTGTGTGACTAACCATCCTGTGTGATGGGGATTTTTTAGCATCACCTTTTTAGCAGCTTTTTTGACACACTGTACTCCACTTCATATAGTCTAGGGTAGCTGCACTAATGCAGATGTACCTTATGTATTAATAAAAAAAAATTGAAGGGCATGTATTAACCCAAGGTCAATGCATCTTGCCTCAATTGGCGTTACTCACAATCCAAATTTATGGGAATTTGGTTCTACTTGTAAAAATCCCCATAATTACCAAGATTTTATGTCTGGCATAAATTATTAAATAAATGGCATAAATTTAATTAGGTATTCTTACCTAATTAAAAGACGAAGCTTGTTATTATACATAAAAGTTAGTAATTGGAAGATATTTGGAGGTGTGGCAGTATTGTTTAAACACATTTATGCAAAAAAATTAAGTTTGAATCCATTTTTTTTCCAGTCTTCTAACTTTACTGTTTCGAGTCATTTAAAGAAAATATTGGGTGCCCCTCATCTATCCAAATTTCAAAACGATATGGTAATATTAAAATTTAATGTGAAATTAATTAATTCAAGGAAATATATGGACTTTTCCCATATTTTTGTTTCCAAATAAATTATGTTTTTCAAATTGTTTTTAGAATTGTACATATGTAAGGCCTTTAACAATAGTGAACGACTCACTTGGTGGCGACATGTCTCTCTATGTAGGCGCAGTGTGGAGCGGCCAGGTGCTTGACGATGGCCAGGCCTCGAGTGTCGTTGAAGTAGCGCCTGTGGACGGCGGTGACGGAGGCGCTGGGAACACAGTCCTGCACCACCCGCAGCAGGCCCCCGCTGCCTCCACCGCCGCCCCTGGCATCCAGCTGCACCGCAGTTGTTGCTACTATTACCTGAATATGAGAAAATCCTGAATATAATAAGAAATATTTGTCTGCTAACAAACATTGCTATTTGCAATCAGTAATCTAGTATTAAATTATATATATGGAGCATGTAATGTATTTAAGACCAAAAGCAGGCGATGAGTCACAATAACGTGGCTGAAGTATGTTGACCAGACCACACACTAGAAGTTGAAGGGACGACGACGTTTCGGTCCGTCCTGGACCAAAAGACCAAAACTTCAAGCAACCCCTTGCACTGACGTCAGGCAATAACGTGTTTTTTTTCTTCTAAACATACGGCCGTGTAAGTCAAAGAACGCTGCCTTTGTATTTCATTTGCAACCCGTCATCTAACAAATTACCGTCGCTTTTCGCTCGTATTCGCTACGGCCAAAAAAAGGACGTGATTTGAAAATGAAAAATAACTGAAAAAAAAAATGGATTTTGTTTATTGTTTACCAAAACAGCAAGTTAAGGATCATCTGGTAGATTAGGAGGGCAGGAAGTTCGCCTAAGGTTTCAAAATGTCATGAAAACCGTTAATTGAAAGTTTCCTCTCCAAACCTAACAGCCTATGCCAGAGCACCCAAAACAAAAAACGGGACAGTACGTCACTTTCGTTAGCCGCTTCTGAACTGCTTGGGCTATACCAAAAGTTCTAACATTGATGATGACATCTGTCGTAATCTGAACGATTATTGGAATTTAAATGCGCTTTCTGAATGTATTATATCTAATTATATATAACCCAAATCAATAGAAAACAATACATTTATTGAAAATAACTTAAATATTGTCATTATTATGAGTGCTAGTTTGCCGCATTAAGAGAAGTACACAACTTTCTCCTATACATTTAAATATACATCTGTGCCTAAAGAATAATTTGAGCCCTGTCTCAGGCTGAGGACAGTCTAATTGTAATATTGAATACTGTACAGAGATCATTAAAATTGTGAAGATATCTCGCGTATGGCATGTTTTTGTAATGGGTGTAGAGATTGGTTTCTCGTGCAAGTTCATCCCGATGGCTACCTCTGTTGCAAAGCTTTTAAGTGTACACTTTTAACAAAGCAATGTCGGAGTCTGACTCTCAGCGACCTGAAAGCACCAGTATAAAAAGCTATGATTTGTTCCGATCTGAAACCTATGTTTATGGGCAGCATAAAACGTCCACCAGACTGTGCGACACAGTGGTTGCCAGGATCAGGTTGGGTTACCATTACCTGTGGCAGGTGAGGGATCTCCCAATCCTGAGCACTCCAGGTGCAAACTCTGTGAGCAGGAACTGGGACATGATCTCCCACATTACATTACCGAATGCCCAGTTATCAAACCATTCAGATCCAATGGCATGAGGTACCTGGAGCTTTGCATTTACTTTATTCACTCTCGTGTTCTTGAGAATATTCTCATATTGCACCCAAAATTTGCCAGTGCAGGATACTGAACGTATGGCTCTGTATGACTAACCACCCTGCGAGATGGGGACTTTCAGTATCACTGCTACCTTATACTACTACTGTTGTCTCTTTGTGTTCATGATAACCTTATAATGCACCCAGAGTTTGGCAGTGCAGACTACCTATCACATGCCTTTGTATAACTAACCATCCTGTGTGATGGGGATTTTTAGCATCACGTAGCTAGTTTTTTGACACGCTGTACTCCCCTTCGTATAGGCCAGGGTAGCTGCACAAATGTAGATGTATCTAAATGTGTTAATACAAAAAAAAATATAAAAAAATCCCCAATTTAAGAAATTATTTTGTCTAAGCCTTATGTGTTTTTATCTTTAGTTTTAATATTGATAATTTAATGTATTTATTGGCACATTCACGGGGGAAAAGTTTCATTGGAGTGCATTTTTTCGTTGTATATCGCCCGTCCAGCAATTACTTGATGAGTAGCAAAATCTGCTTGCAACTCATCACTACTACTATTGCTAGTAGTAGCAATTACTACTTGACTTATACAGCCATAGTTTGGAAGCATTTTTGATGGCTCATTCCTTATTAGTTAAATTAATAAGGCATTCTGTACACTAGCACAGAATCTGAGATTCTGTACATTTTTACACAGAGATTCTGTACAGAATCTCAGTGGTTGTCCTGATATGAAAGAATGTGATAATACTGGAACTATAGATACATCTAATATTTCTGAGCATGCTCTGAAAAACTTGGTGTGGAGCCAGCGCCCGTTGACCCCAACATCCCCCCTTTGTTAACCTACGATATATATGGTCATGTATGTCCGTGCATGAGATCTAGAGCAATATTCTGACAATATATTGTCAGAATATTAGTATCATAAAATTAGCATCATACAAAAGGAATACATTTTTGTGTTTTATTGCAAACTACGGCATACAAGTTTTTAGAAAAAAAAACATAAAAAATCGGGTAGATGTTGGTGGGGTTAATTTCGAGTTGGGTTCGGATAATGCGTTTGGTGCGGGTGAGGAACTAACCTCCAGAGGGTTGAGGATGGTGAGCTTGGTGAGGGTGCGGGTGTAAGTGTGGGTGTCGGAGAACTGGGCAAGAGAGAGCTGTGGACTGCGCAGGTCGATGGCTGCCACACCCACTTCCCCTCTGGCCTGCCCGCGCCCTTCCACCACCGCTGTGTAAGCAAGCCACCACTTTGAGAAGGTAAACAATGCAGTGACCAGACGTCTCACCTCCGGACGCCTATGACTGGCTGGTTCATATTAAATTAGGATACAAAGGTAAAGACCGAAAAGTTGAATTCGTGTCCAAAATGTTGCAAAACTGGTAACAATTTGCACATTAGTGTTAGCACTACTGGTAAGAAAATTTATGCAGAATTGTCAAAACCTTTTATTTTGTATATTCAGCTACCATATAAATATTACCACGAATACATATTCTCGCTGAATTTAATTATTTCATTGACCATTTGCCCGAGGCCGCAAAACGATAACTGATTAATATGAACCAAACAGCGCCTCCACTTCTGATAAAGTAAAGTGTGTCCTGAAGAAGGCACAGTTAGGTGAAGGAAGATCTCTACAGTATATTGTTTTCATTTTACAAGACGCTAGTCAAGCAGCAACGCGGTGTTTCCTTACCTACGATAGTTGATGGTGAGAGCTCCTGGGCAGAGCGGGGCGTCCTACTGGCTGCCGAACCCGGTGTCCTGCTCATTCCCGAACCAGGCGTTTTGGAACGTCCAGATCCAGAGGTCCTCGAAGGCGCAGACCCAGGGGTCTTCAGACGACCTGAACCAGGGGTCTTCAGACGACCTGAACCAGGAGTTTTGTTGCCGACATTGGAAGCGGGCGTCCTTGCCTTAATTCCTCTTGTGCAGGGCGCTGAATTTGTGGTGGTTGTCATATAATGTGGGACGTGAGGCTGGTGGTATAATCTGGAGCTTAAGCTGGTGCTCGAGGTCCAACTGCCCGACTTGGAGAAGAGGCTTGCGTCTTGTATCCCAGCCATCTTACTAACATCATTAATCAGGCTAAATTCTCCCAGGATCCTATTGCTAGAGCTTTCAGTAGATGACGCTTTGTGCACAGGGGCTGCTGGCCTGCTGCTGACTGTTGCAGAATGTGGGGTCTGACGGCTATCAGAGGTGTCGGTGGCCACCGTGGACACCCCCTGGGCGAGAAGAGGCGGGATGTCGGTACCCACAGGCGTGGAGTGCATCGGAGCACTATTACTCGGGGTGCTGGGAGTAGGCAAGAGAGCTGCTTAGAGTAAATTACTTAGTCGCTATAATAGGCAGCTACTGTTTTCATAAAAATCGAATCGGCGCAAAATTGCAAGATCGCGATTAACACACACAATGGCATATCAGAATGCATCCTCAACAGTATTATCCAACATGCGATCATGCCTGCAGCAGCTTAAACCATACACCCACATACCTTCCATACCCTATATCCACTCTTGCCCTTCACAGCCACTAGCACACCCATACCAGTCCACAGCCACTAGCACACCCATACCAGTCCACAGCCACTAGCACACCCATACCAGTCCACAGCCACTAGCACACCCATACCAGTCCACAGCCACTAGCACACCCATACCAGTCCACAGCCACTAGCACACCCATACCAGTCCACAGCCACTAGCACACCCATACCAGTCCACAGCCACTAGCACACCCATACCAGTCCACAGCCACTAGCACACCCATACCAGTCCACAGCCACTAGCACACCCATACCAGTCCACAGCCACTAGCACACCCATACCAGTCCACAGCCACTAGCACACCCATACCAGTCCACAGCCACTAGCACCAAAAAATATCAGTACAAATTAAGCCACTCTAGCACCATCCCAGCATTAATTTCACATCACTCTACATCACATGAACTATCAGTTCTTACCAAACGTTATTTAACCTGTTCCTAAACCTGTTGAATCTATTAGGAAGTAAAATTCCTCTATAATGATTTTATTATTTTGGATTAGGCACGCGGCATGTCGCAATGTGGCAACAAGCAAAATGTTTTCGTCTTACTAGTTTACTCTGCACCTTACACGTTCCTTGCAATATCTTATGCAACCCACCCTCAAGCTGCGCCCTTTAATCAAGCAGCCGTCTCCATGGGCGCATTCGTTAACAGTTTTTACACGGAGTAATAAAAATTGGTATTACCTCAATTAGATGCGGCCGTCCCTGAAGGCGCAATTGTAAATTTTGGCGTACTGTGTCATCAATAAGGCCATTTTCTCGAATATAATATAATGTTTGTTATAGTTTTGTGTATAGTTAGGTCCAGGGTAGGTCAGGCTAGGTGTTTAAGTTCAGATGGCATTTATACGCAAATACAATACGCGGGTGAACAATTCAGAGCAACCCATCCTTAGGCTATCTATCACCTGAAGCAGCATTCTTATATTTTAACGCACTTTGTAACCAAAAAAAAATGGTATTTACTTAAATATAAAATAAAATTATATATAATAATTGTATATACAGAGTACGTGGATCAAGTATTTAGAGGTATGTTTGGTAGCAAACTTTTAGTGTTTCGCTCACTTCTTATATTTGAAGCGCACCTCTTAAAAACTGCGATACGAGAAGTGATCCATTAACCTCCAGCCCGTACTGCAAATACATCACCTAATCAAACTACCTAACCCTAGCCTAGGCCTAATGCAAAACAGCAAACAAAATAATCTAACCTAACCTAGACCTGTCTGTGTACAGGGTTCGTGTATAAAATATGATTACAACGTTCTCGCTCAAATAAAATGGCTGAAGCTTCACTCGTAAGTACTAACTTACCTGGCGTCTTCATCATCATTAACGACTCTTGTAGCGTAACTCCCTTCACACCCAGCACCTGTAGGGAGACCAACACATGGCATATATATATATATATATATATATATATATATATATATATATATATATATATATATATATATATATATATATCTACCACCAGTACCACTATACCCAAAGCTACTTTGATTTTCCATTTAAACTAGCAAGAGAAAGTACCAAGCCATTACGACTATATAGCCCTTACATTATATGAGACAACTTCTAATGTCATAAAATGTTCTAAAAAATATCAGAATACCTCAGGCATTAAATTTCTTCAAGAAACCTTGTTATTTAACCCGGGAACTGTAAGATGCCATTTTTCCAAAGGCAAAGAATACAAACTGCATTCTTCTAGCAATAATATCGTGAATACAGTTATCGTGCAGAGTAATAATACTACATTTCTATGCGTGTTAGCCTAGTAGAAGTCATTACCAGAAATCGGCAACATTTTACCCAGTTGCTTCCTTAAGTTGTTCTGTATATGTTTCCTAATACCCACTCTCGAATTGTTTTATTTTAGTACCGTATGTTCGTAGAGTTCTATACTATTTTGTTACATTGGGATTTCTGCCTGGGACCAGGTGCTGTAATCAATTTAGATATTCAGCGCCACTGTGTGTTCTGTTTGGCTTGTGTTGAATGTTGTGTTATTTGTATGTCTGTGTTCGTTTGGGTTACACACATGGAGCATTCATACTGCAATATCAGCATGGCATTGTACGTCAGAGTTAATTGTTGATAAAAATGAATTTATCCTTTTAGTTTCAATCCTTCACCTGGTAGATTGTTAGTTTCATGTATCCTCATAATGCTACGAATTAGTTGTGATAGCAACAGATTTGAGGTTTGCGTGTGGAAGCACCAGTATATGGGAAGAAACACGAATTTTGTTAATATTCTTAGTAGGTAACTATTAAGCAACACAAGCCTATTATTACAGTTGTAATAATAGGCTAGATGTGACAGTAATTTACTTTTGGTTAAACATGTATCACAATTTGAAATGGTAGTCTACGGCCATAAACTGATTCCTGATAATGTGAATATATATAATATTCAACTCAACCTTGGGAAATCATAGAACCTACAGCTACCTAAATTTAGCTATCATGGATAATATGTACAACATGTGGACTATTGGACCAGAGAAGAGTTTACGTTTTGTACAGTTGATATTCTAAAGGGCAAAAAAAAAAAAATTAGCTATAAACCTAGACCAAATAAGGAATCTTAGGCCTAGTTTACTACATATATGTACTCAAATAGGCCTAGAAAAAGTTAAGTTTGGTTCTTCTCTCTCAGGCGCTTTACAAAATGAATAGTATAAAACGTAGGCTTTTTGGGGTTAGGTTGTAATTTATCTGTAAGGGTGTGCAAGCCAATGTAACAAAGCTCACGATGAGCCAATATTAAATACATGCATGTGCTGGTGCATATACACTACATACAGGAATACACTACATACAAATATTGAAGTATATAACAGCATTTGGTAACACTCCCACATAGTGAGTGCCTTACCAAGTCCTGAGTAGGTGTCAGTCGAGGCGTCCTGAACCTCATCATACACATCTGCAGGAAAGAATATTGATTGTAGAAAAGACATATTTTACTGAAAATGGTCAGTTATTACGATAAACAAGGCTATGTATATATAATAAAGGTTTACTGATTATATTATATAATATAGGTTTACTGAAATATTTACAAATCTGGTAAAATACTCTCCACAACAAACGTGAAGCTCGGTGTACTATGTATAATTTACCCAGTCACATAACAGGTCATTTGAACTGTTTAAGAATGTATACACTCGTTAAGATCAAGTCAATCGACTTGAGAATGGTCCAGGACGGACCGAAACGTCGTCGTCCCTTCAACTTCTAGTGTGTGTGGTCTGGTCAAACACTCGTTAAGATCATTGCATCAGCTTCGCAGACAGCGGGCAGACATGTTATTTTGTAGGTTTATTAACTAAGAACATAGGTGTAATAACAACTGTGGGGGACAGAAGCCACTATCTCCGCAAAGTGTTTCGGGCAAAACATTGTAAATTATTTAAAGAGTTTTTGTAAGACTGCCGAGTGTTTTCTTAATAACTTACCATATCTAGGCGTCCTTGCCTGATGGCGTGGGACAAAAGACATTCTCAAAATCCTTTTAGTGAGGCAATTTTGGTCAAGATAATGGAGCGACCTCCGAGCAGAACTCCCTCCGTCAGCTGATTATAAGCGACTGTTGCTTGCTTATTGCAGAATATTAGTTATTTATTAGAATATTATTATTACATTTATTTTTTTACAATATTAGAATATTGTCTATTTGTACTCAATGAATTTGTGCGCCCCTTGAGGGACTTGAAGTAGAGGGGGGTAGAAATAGCCTAAATTACTCTATCCATTTGATATGTATTTATTTCTTGTCTCAATAAACATACTTGAACTATTAGTTATTTTACCAAGTTTCCTGGCTTATTGACCACTTAGCAAATTTTACTATAGATTTTATTTTATAAGAGTCAACTTTGCATTGTTAGATGTATTTGAGTTTGTAATACATTTTAAAACTATCGTAAATTTCAAGACATAGAAAACGTAAACTTTTCTGGCACTTATATAGAAGGTTAGGTTTAAAATGGGCTCAGGGACTTAACCCCACAATTCATTTAGCTAAGCAAGTTACAATCTTGATGAGCTAGTTACAAATGTAATGCACATCGTCACATGGGCTCGAGACCGACCATATGTACAGTTTTGAAGGGACTGGTCGTTTCGGACACAAGATGTTTCAACGAAGCTTTTTCAATTTGTTAGGAGGGTATATATTGTTATGATAGGCTGTATTAACTTAGGTTAGGATGTATGGGACTCAGTTGAGTTAGGTTGGGTTGGGTTGAGCTAGGTTAGGTTAAGTAGGTTTCAAAAATCCGCTGGCGAATCGTCTTGTATACGAAGTGACTTGTGTATACTTCAGTTTATGATTTCATAAACAAAATTACAATTAAGTTGGTCAGGGGCGGTGTTAGGATAAATATACGTAAAATTTAACTAAGTATTTTAGGAAACATTTTTAAAGATTGAAGAATTA